CTCAGGAAGAATACAGACATATTCTGAATAGATGTGTGGACAACAGAAATTAGAAAGGGTAAAGAATAGATTAAGTGGGTGGTGATGGAAAGGAAGAGGTTGCAATCAAGGAGCAGAAGTTTCAGAATGCAAGCCTGATAGTGGAGCTGCTTGGAGTGACATCAGAACACAAGTCACCCAAAGGGCATTGCTAAAATAAAGAGCAGATGGGATTTTGTGCAGTTACAGATTGAAGACTCTGATCACTGTGCTAACATTGTGTGCAATGTGAAATCATATACAGGGACCTTAGTCAAGAAATTTGCAGCCTAGTAAGAAAGAACGGTATGTAGCAGGTAACCAAATAGGTTGAATACCAGGAAGGAAAATTACTGCAATCTAGAAACTGGGAAGTCTAGGAGCATTCAAGTGGGAGAGATACATTACAAACACAAGAGCTATAAACACCATCAAGGACACCAGGTGAGATGGTGCTTGCCTGTAATCATATGTACTGGGGAGGCTGGGGTAGGAGGATTGCCAAGTTTAAGGCCAAACCTGGCAACGTGGTAAGATTCTGACTCAATTAAAAAAAAAAATTAAAAAGGCTGAAATATAGCTCAGTGGTAGTGGGCAGTAATAGCATATGCAAAGCCCTGGGTTCAATCCTACCAAGCATCCCAAAGAAAAAGTAACACACACACACACACACACACACACACACACACACATAGGTTGTATCTAGGCTAAACACACACACATATACATACACACATAAGTTGCATCTTGGTTAAACTCTTAAAAGTTGAATTGGATTTTGACAATTCACATTTTTATGAATTATCAGGTTTGCCAGGTGTGGTGGTGCACACCTGTGATCCTAGAGGCTTGGGAGGCTGAGGTAGAAGGATAGAGAGTTCAAAGACAGCCTCAGGCTTGGGCTATGGTTCAGTGGTCACATGCCCCCAAGTTCAATCCTTGGTACCCCACCCCACCCCCCAAAAAAATATTATCAGGTTTTAAGAAGCCTAGTCCAAAGTATTCAAAATACAAGAGTTAAAAAACAGGACATGGGTTGCCTTTTTATTTTATACCTAGAGAATCTATGGGTCTGAGAGTTAGAGAATTGACTAGCAGTGACCTTACAGATAATCAATGGAGTTGGAAATAAAGGTTTTTCAAAAGGAATACTTCAAGAAACTATACAGTTGCTGAAGAGGGCTGGGCATATTGAAGGAATGGTAACCTAACTAGTTTCAAATCATGAAAGGGATTGGTGGATTTAAGGTTTGAAAAATAGATAAGAAAACTAGTTTGGAAGGAATGTTTATGGAGTTCGTTAAGCAGCTTTATGTTTGATCCTGAATACAAAATAAATGCTCAGACAGTGAAGCAAGGTAGCCTACACATGGCAGAAAAGAGTCTGGACCTGTTGCATGTGAATGGAACTCAGAAAGAATAGAAGACACTGCTAAAATCACTAACTGGAGAATTATATATTCTTTTCTCTCTTTCCTTCAATATACCCCCCTCCCAACTAAATAATTATAAAACCAGTAAAATGACATAATTGAAGTACATTTGAGTCAATCCTCTCTCTGACATGCACAGAGCTGCTCTCTTGAGAGAGATTTTTATCATTGTTCATTGGTGCATATTGCAAGAATACTCTTCTCATTTGTCTTTTGACCTTCCTTCTCTTTTCATTTCCACTTTCTTAAGGACACCAAAAAAAAAAAAAACTTTCTAAAAAAAGTGAACTTTTCAGTCCAATGCTTAACCATTAACATTAGGTCTCCCCCACTTTCAAGGGGTGGTAGAAATGTCCTAGCATAATTTGGAAAGCTCCTGCTGGGTAGGTCTTACTTTATCACCAACATTACGTACAAATTGCGATATGTTAAGTAATCTGTAATTGTCACTGTTTTTCAGGCCTCTGATATTTGTCTTTGGATTAATTATCTCCTGTTTACAGTTTATTATTTCCTTTGCCTACCCCAGTCCAGCTGTTTCACAGCTTAGCTTTAAAACCCTGGAGGAATTTGGACTCTGCCCTGTCTTTTATAATCCATTAAAAACTTATTGAATCAACTAATTTCCAACATCCTTAAAAATCCCTTGAACTAATTGTTTCATTTTTAGTCTAATATGTTATTTTCAATTTCATATATTCTCATATTTTATCAGTTCACACAGTTTCCCACTTGCCTAACAGGACCACTACACAACACAAATCCAACTCTCCATGCAAAATTCAGACATGTCCCTTGTGCATTGTATACCTCTCTGCAGGATGCATGAAGCCCTCCTCTCTCTGAGCCGGATTTCCTGCGTTAATCTCCCAGGATGCCCACTCAAGGATGTGGCCAACCAGCCTCGCCAAATGATGTATTTTTGTCTCTGAAACTCTTGTTCCTCATGTACAAAAGCCCTTCTCTCTGCCATTTCCTCTCCTATTTACCACCCCCTTAAAATTAATATCTTCCTACATATGCCTTCCTGTGGTATAAAATCAAGAATGAATCAAAACATGAATTAATTGCATTAATTAGAAATGTTTGCATATTCATGTATATGCATATGTTAGATTAAAAGATACTTACAAATTCTTATTGGAAGCAGTGCATTTTTCATACAAGGAAGACTAAATTTGTATTTTTAAATAAATAAAACTATTTTGAAATTCAGCAACGTTGGAGAATAGTTTTTAATGCCAGAGAAATGATAAAAAATCATTAGAATCCTTAAAAATGGAGAGTAGAAAAATCAATCTGAACTCAAAACTTTAGATTACTCACCTCTTTATTTAAGCAACATTTTATTGGCATACATGCATTAAACTAAGAATCATAATTTTCTCTGGGTATACTCAAGTCTATGGTTACCGTTTCTAAATTTTAATGTGTCAGAATATTAATGAGTAATGAAGTCTTTTGATTTCAAAAAGTGTAATATTAAATAAGATGATGCATAAAAGACTGACTCTTATTGTTTATATCATGTCAAAGAATTATATTTTCTAAAGGCTGCAAATAAAAACAAAAGTACTTCAGTTATTACTAAGAGTTTAATGAAATGATATCTATATGATGACATTCTCATCAAGTACCCCATGTTATGGAGTATTCAAAGGGACATTATTCATAGAACTTCATGATTTTTGAAATAGGTGGATCCTATCAATTACTCAGCAAATGTGGGTTAAATTTGTAAGGTTTATCACTCTCATTTATATTTTGGGGAAACTGATGCCCCACTAAGTGGACTAATTTGCCAATACTCTTCTTTATTCAGTGGTAGACAGAAGCATAACCCAAATAACTGTGATCTTTATGATCAGACTATTTTTTAAGAGATGATACTTAACCAAAGAATCTGTACAAGTGATTTATGAAAGGGTTAGTTTCCATTTATTTATAAGAGTTGACACAAGATGTAAAGATGGTTTTATGTCAACATATAGGTCTTGTTCATAAAAGCTAGTTTTTCAGAATTATTCTACCTAGGAATTGTGTCACATATATGATTTGATATGAGTGTGTTCACTTTAATCAGTTAAAAATACTTAGCTGCCATGATTCATTTGTAGAAGAGAGGATGAATACTTTTAAGGCATGCTTTGATTTATAGCACATGAACCAATGGTTATGCTAATTAGCAGAAAGAAATGCATATTACTAAACTCAAATTAGTTCTCATTTCCCATGGCTGGTTGAGCTTCTGTCTGGATATTGTAAATGTCTTACTCACTGTTGAACATTAGAATTAAAGCTAAAAATGTACATGTGCATTTTTAATATACTTTTCTTGTTTTGCATTTTTTTTTCCTGGCCACAAATTCAAAAGAACTTTCTTTCAAAGAGACAGATAACAATTGTATTCCTAAAGGGATTTTTGTATTTTTAAAAGAAAAAAAATAGATATTTGAACATGTCCCTGTTCTCAGTAAAAAATGCTGTGTCAAGTATATGAGAACTACTTTCTCTAAAAATATTAATAATTTGAATGCAGTGTACTTTGGATGCTGAAGGCTTAATTCTGTGTTCAGTTCTAAGATGGGAAACGTTCTCAAAAGAAAAGGGAAGAATGTGAATTAATTGTGAGCCAGATATATGTTCTCTGGCTTTTCCTTTGAGGTGGTAAATAATATTAATACCAAAAATGCTCAGTAGCAAAATACAAAAGGGCAAGGGATATATAATTTTGGAGAAAATATATAATTTATTGTAATGTACATATCATTTCAAAGGCTGAGATGCAAAGGTTTCTTATTGCTTCACAATCTGCTTGTATTTAAATATAGTTTGTGTATTTCCTAAAGTGTATTGTGTTACACAACAGGGTAATTCTGAAAGCTGAGGTATTTGACTAGCTTTCATTCATTCCAGGATTCTATCTCTTCCTGTCTGTTAAGTTTATGTCTAAGCATTGAAAGAACTTGATGTGGGACAAAAAAAAAAAGAGGAAATCATTCAGTATTGAAGTTTTAGGGAGAAACTTTAAGTTCTATAGTACGTTGTAAACAATTTTCAGGAAGGCATCATTGACTTTCCTTTACCAACAACAAAAATCAATAAAAGACCATACAGATAGTAAGATAGTTCATTGCATTTTATGAAAAAAGTTTGGTGTTACAGAAATTCTCAACATTGACACAAATTAAGAATGTAAGCATTTAGAACCAGAAAGGAGATGTGACCCTGAGTTCCCACCCATGTTTGAGAAGATGGCTAAATAGAGATTGAGTGTGAAGTACTAATGATTAAGTTCTGCAGCTTAGATTATCCAAGTGATTTTTATGACATGTATGATATTTGTTTGTTTGTGTTTGTGCTCTATTTGTAAGTCAGAAAACATACCAAAAATGTCAAGAGGAGATGACAGAAGCTAAAACAATAAAGAGAGTGTTTGTAATTTTATTGCAAACACAGAAAAAAATGCTTTTGAAATTTTTTAGATTCTTTTGTATTTACACGTTCTGTTTTTGCATCTTAATCTGATATGTTCTAACATATCTGCAGGCAGAATGCCTTTCAAGTCATTGCTGTGGACGGGGTATGCAGTGGAATTATTCAGTGCCTCTCAGCCGAGGAATCTGTTGACTGGCTACAAGCAATAGCAACGAATATTTCAAACCTCACAAAGCACAATGTAAGTAAGTAGTGATCCAAGAGATATTGATCAGAGAGTTTCTCAACCTTCATGAAATTCTTCAATATATATTTGACTTTTCATCAGCTGTTTGGTATCTTTCCAAGAATGAGCCACTTCATATTCAGCATGAAAACTCTTCTGAGACACTTATTAGAAGAAAATCACTTTACCCTGAAAGTCCCAGTACAATTTGTCAATTCAAGAATGGTCAGGCACGTAGGCTTCCATAGCAAATGTCAAAGGGACCTGTTTTCATTCAGTAAACAAAAAATTGTATTTTGCATTAAAAGTTAAATATGTTAAAAATAAGTAAAAGCTTTCTGGGCTAATATGCTACTGAATTTCAACAAAGACTATTAATTTACTTTCAGTGATCTTGGGACTGTGGCTAAGAATTTTTAAAGGAATAGGATAATACAGTGAGAAGAGCTACCATGGAGACTGAAATCTTGTGTGGAACTCTTCTGGCCCAAGAACAATAAGAAAACATCATTGTGGGAAACTTGCTCATTAGAGCCAGGTCTAGATTGATAGGAATTAGCTTCTCTTCATTTCATTTATTTTTCTACTTCAAACATTTCTTCTCTTCCCATTCTGTGTCTATTTATTGTCACCATCTCATTACCATTACTCTTTAATGATCTAATCAATTCTCTCTTGCTCTCTCACTCCCAGGAGCTGTATAGTCTAACAAACTAAACAAAACCATAAACCTCTTTTCCTTGAATATTATCATTACAGATATTTGTTTTCAAAAATCAAGTATCTGACATCATCATGCTCTTGTCTTACTCTTCTCCTCTGTCCAAAACTACCCCCATGCCATGTTGGAGCAATTAAGATTTCCTAAGGAAAATTCAGAACTCTAATATATAAGTGGTTAAGCAGAAATATGTACCTCTACTAACTCATGATTACACAAAGATTTTCTTATAAAAGTGATCTACTGTACCTGAGTAACTGTACAGCTTTTTACTTAAAATATAAGAAAGTATTGTGATAAATAAGTCTTTCTTAAAAATAAGAGGACCAGCGCAGTCATTAAAGCCAATACTCTTGTTTTTAGTTGTGATTATTTCGAGCGATTCCATCTCAATGCCCATGTACGTGGTGGTGGGATGCTCTGTGAGTGGAATTGATAGCCACTGCATGTGTACATGTACAATTTTTCCAGGTAATGCCAAATGTTTTTTTTTTTTTCAAAAACATTTACCTTCTTAGTCTCAGTGGGTGACATGTCTGTATAGATCCTTCTCAATCCTTGGTATCTTATTGCCTTTATATATTTTTTTTTGGTAGATGTGAAATTGTGTCTCACTATGTCATGAATAAAGATAAATGGATATTTTGGGGGGTGGCTAAATAGGTATAAATACCCTGAGCTTTCCTAAGAGGTATGAACCCAGGATAAAGGCTGACTTGGGCATGTCTGACTTGGGTAAGACTGATGCCCACCAGCTGGGCACAGTGGCACATGCCTGTAATCCCAGCAGCTTAGGAGGCTGAAACAGGAGAGTTGTGAGTTCACAGCCAGGCTCAGTGAGGACCTAGGCAACCCAGAGAGACCCTGTCTCTAAATAATATCTTAAAAAATAAAGAACAGGCTGGGGAAGTGGTGGCTCAGTGACAAAGCACCCCTGGGTTCAATTCCTGGAACAACAACAACAACAAAAAAAAAAAAAAAAAAAAAAAAAAAAAAAAAAAAAAAAAAAAAAAAAAAAAAAGCAAAGGAAAAAAACTGATGCTCACCTTCCAGCCCAGTCTTTGATGATCTGACGATGTCATCATAACTATAGTTAAGGTATTGATCAGAAAAAGGAAGGAAGGAAGGAAGGAAGGAAAGAAGGAAGGAAGGAAGGAAGGAAGAAAAGAAGGAAGGAAGGAAG